AAGTCCCACTCAGATTCTACCCATCCCACTCATGTATTTATCCAACCTAAATTTGAAACTACCAAAGTCCTAGCCTCAATAACCCAACTAGGTAGATGTCCACTCATCTACTACCCTATTTCCAAAACCAATACGTTCTATGTCCTTTCCTAAATCTAAACTCATCTAATTTAAATCCATTAATGCGGGTTCTTTTGGAGAGTTTTCATCAAGACCTATTTAAATCCCCTTTATTATTACCTATCTTCCACTTATACAATTCGATCAGGTCTCCCCTCTTTCTTCGTCTAAACAGTGAATGTACTTAAGAGTCTTCAAATTTTCTTATAAGGAAGATTTCTAATGCTATGTATTAATTTTAGTAATCTACGCTGAATGTTTTCTAACGAACTTTATGTCCAGTCTGTATTATGGGAGACCAGAATTGAGCTGCATAATCTAGGTGTGGCCTTACTCATGATGTATAAAGCTGCAGTATGACCTCTGGACTTCTGTTGCTTAACTTCTTGATATAAATCCCAGTAATCTATTGCTTATCTTACGTACGCTTAGGCATTGCTGTCTTGGTTTAGGTTGCTGCTTACCATAACCCCAAGTCCTTTTCGCAATATGTCATGGTTAAGTTCTACATTAATTTAACTTATAAGTGCTAGGGTGATGGACACTCCGAGCTTCAGAACCTTGCATTATCTACATTGAACTGATCTGCCACTTTTCTGACCAAGAGTAGAGCATGTTGTCTAAATCACACGAATGAAGTTCCCTAATCCATCTACGATTGGAATCAATATCCTACTATCTTGTTTCCCCCCCATCGGCGAATGTGCTCATATCCTAGTAGGCTCTCGCTGCTTCATCAAGATTCATTGATATTTATTATAAACAAAACGGGCCAGACTGATCCCTGTGGAACGCCACTTGTTACTGATACCCAACTCGGATTTAACCCCATTTATTGGGCACCTCTATGCTTCCTGTCTGCTAAGCCATGGTCGATCCACGAGAGCACTCTTCCCCCAATGCCATGAGCTGCTCACTTTCTTCAAAGTCTATGGTGCGGAACTCTATCAAATGCCTTACTAAAATCTAAGTAAATAATATCAAATTCTTTATCGTGGTCAACAGCCTCAAAAGCTTTACTGAAAAAGTTAATAAATTAGTTAGACAAGACCGGGCCTCTTGATATCATGGTGGTATCATTAATCTAGCTATGCTATCGAGATGGCTTCTTTTAATTGAGCTATAAATTGACTCTAGTATTTGCCTACAATGAGGTCAGGCCTTATTGGGCGGTAATTTGTCGGTTAACGACTTGGCCCTGTTTTAAAAATAGTGAAAATTACATTAGCCATCTTCCACATACGAAACTACACCTGCTTTTGAAGAGATAATTAAAAATATAGTTAAATGGTTCACAGACCTTCCATTGCATTCCTTTAGAACCTTGAAAAAACCTCATTCAGGAAAACCCGGTGATTACTTTTGCTCAGTGGTCTATCTGCTTCACAACCATTTCACTAGTGCTCCTATGTTGTTACATTAATTTTCTTCTTCTGGCCCACTATAAAAAATTAATACGGAACACTTATAGGTGTCTTCTGTTGTAAAAACGAGAGAAAATAATTATTTAAAATCGAGACATTTCATTCTCTTTGTCAGTAAGATGCATAGTTATTTTTAAGGGGATACTATTTATCTCTGGACTTTTGTTCTATATTACCTGGAAAAAACTTTTGGGTTTGTTTTAGAATCCCTAGCAACTTTAAATTTCATAGTCCCTTTAGCTTTTTCTTATCCCCTTTTTTTTATGTCCTCTTAGTTGTCAATATACATGATTAATAAGATGACTCTCGCCTCTTTTTGATTACGCTATAAATCTTTTCTTATGCTAGGCGATATTTTCAGGCCTATTATTCATCCATGTTAGGTTCATTTCTATTTGATCTAATTTCTTATAAGGGATTAAATATCTTTGAGCAGCATGTACTGTGTTCTGAAAACTGTCCAATTGATAGCTTCTTTCGTTACCCCAGTCAACAGGATGATAAGTGTCTCTAAGCCCATCGTAATCTGCTAAGCGAAAATATGGGGACTGCTTACGAGTTTTCCTACTATCACCTTCCATTCAATTCTAAATGGTAATTGATTTGTGGTCGCTAGCACCCACTCGTTCTTCTGACTAGCTCACTCTCTCTTTATTAACAAGGGATTCATTTGTTTGCATGAACAAAGTCAAGCAGGGTTATTACCCCTTGTAGGTTCTGTCACAAAACTGCTTTCAGAAAACAATCCCTGAACTACTTTAAGAAGTTCGTATGATTCTAATTCCCAGTCAAGAAATTCAATCAATATGACTAAAGTTAAAGTCTCCTAAGAAATTACTACATTCATCGTGAATTGTGGCCCCTACAATTTCCCTCCCATAGTAGTCTTCCCTGGTCCCTATCAAAATTTGGGGGACGGTATATCACACCCTAAGTAAATTTTTTCATGCCCCTCTGAAAAATATCTATCCAAACAGACTCTGTATGTGTACTTCTGACTTAATTACCCGTTTTAATGCAACAGTTCAAGCGAAGCTCGGACTTACAATGCCACCCCACCCTCGCTTCCCGATACTTCTATTACTTGGGAACAATTTGAATCCTGAAATGTGACATCTGCAGGCATGTCCGTCTTTTGAATTAAACACCTCTCAAGTAATGGCAAATTCATCGTTGTTACCTGCACTAGCAACTAGTCTCAACTCGTCCATCTTATTTAGCACTGCGACTATTTGAGTAATATATACTTAAGGACCCTCCTTTCTCTTTATCATTTCGCTCCTTTTGCTTTTCCACTAAAAACCTAATTACTGGTCCTTGTCAATTAGTGCCACTGGGCCTTCCGTTATCCACCTCATTTTGCCTATTACTAGTTTCTAGTACTCATATTAATACCCTGAGACCTTCACAGTTTTCCCGCGAAACCCATACCACTAACTATTCCTAGTTTAAGGACCTAAACAGCTCCCTCCCCTGCGTTGGGCCAGTGCTCCCACCCACACTAGAAAGTGACCCCATCCCCCCCCCCCTTGGCATACATGTCATTTCTGCCATAGAAGAGGTCCCACGCTGTCAATGAATGTCTACCGCATTTTCCTTAAGTATTGTCCAGCCAGCAAATTGACACCCAATTGCTCTGGACAACCATTTCATTTCCAACTTCCTATCCTTGGCCAAATTGCCACATATGACAGGCGTTTCCCACCCTTTTCCTAATTTATATCTATTGCATGACCCTATACATGCTAATCAGGTCCTCCTCCTACGTCTGCCAAATCGTTGCCTCCAGCATGAGACAGATAATAGGATTGCTCCCATTACCTCTCATGATGTCATCCAGACAGTACAATATCCTTCATCCCAGCCCCGGGAAAACACACTCCTGTCTGCCGCTAACTCCTATCCTTCAAACAGTATATGCCTATCCATGTACCTAATCTGACTACACCAACCACAAAATGTTTTTACCGTCCTTGCGTTGTCCGTAGTGATGCTCCGTCGTAGTCGACTCAAATTCGCCCAGGTAGCATTACACCACTTGTAGAATTCGTCATGACGTTCTCGATGGTCGCGCCGTAGGGGTTTCTAGGGATTGTGTCACTCTCGTCTGCCAATGTTCCTTGGTGCTCGTTGTGGCATTCCCAGTTGTACACTCACATTCGTCAGGTCAGCAACGAGAATGGAGTTGGAATTTTCCACGGACAGTCTTGGGTTTCTCGTTGGTTTCTGCCTCTCCAAACTGTGTTCTTAATCTTCAGCTTTGGTTCATGTTGCCCGACCACTGACAAGGCTCCCCTCTTAACCTGGGGACTCACAAACGGGAGGATTACTACGAATCCTCTTGTTCCTCGTTAATCGCCGTATCTCCCGTTTAGCAACTCTGAGTTTTCTCTCAGTGCTGGTTAAAGCTTGCTCAGAGGGAAGGCCTCCTGGTTCAGATTCACAGAGAGCACACAAACAGGTCTCTCCCCTAATAGATGCATTTAGCCTCCTGTTAAACCCATTTGGGATCGTTATTATTAGACCTAATTTCTCTCTGGGGAATGTATATACTCTGGGCTCTGTGTACATTATTAAGAAAACAATCAAAAAGCAGATCCTTCATATTTTCATAAGTATGATTATCGTCAATTAATCATTAGCTAGATAACCCCAATCAAGATTAGGACAGATGTTTCCATAAGTCCAATTATAATCGCCCAGAACGAAAATCGGGGATTTTTACTGTATTATCATTTTTTGCATTCCCAATTAATGCTTAAAAGGTGATGGATTTGTGATCACTTGCGCCAAGCTCTTCATGTGATATCCAGATTATTCACGTCGTGTTTCTTATTTTGACCAAGACTAGGTCTAGCAATTTATTACACCTGGTAGGTTCAGTTACACTCTGGTTTTCAGAAAACAGTCCTGAACTGGTTTCCATGAAGTCCACTGGACGTAGCTTCGCACCTGTCAAAAAGACATTCCACGATCCTCGCTCGGGCTAAAGTTAAAGTCCCCTTCTAATGACTACGTACTGTGTCCAGAAGCCTAACAATTTCGTCCCAAAGAAGTCTCCCTCTATCGTGCCCCCTTTTCATGATCCTAGCCTGGAGGTCGGTTTATTAACCTAGAATTTGTTTTTCTTGACCCTCCACGAAACTTACCCAAAACTGACTCTCGCTTACTGTCCATCTATTTTTATACCTGTTTTTATGCAACAATTAATATTTTCTCGAGCGTATACAATGCAATCTCCCCCCTTACCATTACACTATCCACATTGAATAATTAAATCCCTGAATTTTAAACTCAGCAACTGGCCTTTCATAAATTTCATTTTTTGCATTTGTCCTTTTACTTTACATATTGTCGGCAATTCTGCCAACATTATTACACCACTACTATAACCACTACCATCTCTACTACCTTCATATCATTATTACTTCTACCTCCCGTCCCTACTTGCTTCTACAACCTCCCTTCAACCTCATCCCTGTCACAAAGAGGATATAAAGAGGACCTAAAGAAGGAATAGTACAATACGACATCAGTCAGCTTAGAAAGAGGTCACTTGCGATGGCTCTAACACTACAAATGAAGGTATGTATGAAGGTTAACCATAATGAACGAGATACGACTGTTACTTTTGAAATTTAAGTATTTTCATGTGAACGTTGAAATTTAGAAAGGCATAGACAAGAGGGAAAGAACAAGTCAGTTTAGTTTTCCGAATATAAGTCAGTAAGAGGTCTACTGAAATGGTCAAGATTAAATAATGCTTAACTTGTATTTCTGTTGCAGAATTATCTGGAGTGCGGAATGTGCCCTGAGGGTGTGAATGACCGCACCACCCGCCGTCTCTCCTGCGGTCATCCAGTATGTGTCCCTTGCTTGGCTGCATTGTTCAGAGCGTCAAACACAGTCTGCTGTCCAGTTTGCAATATTATTCATTGGAGGATAGGACCTTATGACAATAGGGTTGTTCCCAAGAACTGTCTTCGTGTCTGGAAAGTGAAAGGTTCCAACAGCTTAAGAACTGATCCCCTCCACAAAAGGGAAGATGGCCGTTTTAACATGAGACGAGAGGCTATGGTGAGCTTCATTCTTTCCAGCTTTGAAAGTGATCGCGACTTAAATGTATATAGAAATGCTCAAGGTATTTTTGAATTGTTCTATATGTAAATATGCTTATGAATCATGTTTCGAATCTGAGACATTGCAACTTTGGTCTTTCAATAAAAATATACAAGCACACAACACTGTGTAATTTCTTGGTCTGTAATGGAAATAAATGGTATAAAATACCGACACAATGGAAATATAAACACATATGCAGTATAATGAGATCCTTTATTGACTACGTTTCGCCCACACAGTGGGCTTTTTCAAGTCACAAACAGATCTACATGGGGTGGAAGGGACACTAGTATTTATAGTCAGGTTCAGAATGCTGAGGTCAGGTGGAGAATGCTGCATCTGATGATGTACCGAGTGGGGTTATAGAGTCTAATTTAATCTTGGGTAGTTTGGAAAGGAGATTGGATAAGTTTGTGAGCAGACCTTCTACAGTGTTCTTCCATTCCTGTGTTCTTATGTGGGATAGCGATGAAGAAGTTTCTTGGCAAGTGGTTCAGCTATGTTATAGAAGCCACTATTGTGGTTGAAGTTGTTGGATATAGAAAAGTGATGATTCCAGGATTCTTCGGTATTGAGTATTGTCTTCTGTGGCGATAAGTCTTGAGTTTCTGCAGTTTATCAAGTGGTTGTGTGAATTACGGTGTTGTACACAGGCATTCCTTGTGTCGTCAGACCTGCTTGCGTATTGGTGTTCTGAAATACGTGTTTGGAGGTCCCTTGATGTTTCGCTCACGTATAATTTGTTGCAGTCATTACAAGGGATTATGTATACCTGCAGAGGGTGGAAGTTTGTCCTGTCTATCACTGGTAATGTCCTTGATGGTCGTGGTTGTGGAGGTGGATACTTGGAATGAGGTATTGGAAAAGATATTGGTAACGTGTTTGGCAATGGAGTTGGTGGGGAGGACTATGTATCTCTTCTCGGCAGTGTCTTCTCTGGGTGTGTTGAAGATGTTTAATGCCCGTCGTCTGCAGTCTCTGATGAAGTGACGAGGAAAGTGGAGTTTAGAAAGTACTTGTTCAATTATCGTGCATTCTTCTTCAAGAAACTCATTGCTGCAGATTCTGAGTGCACACAGGAAGAAGCCTATAATTACACCACGTTTGGTTTTGGTGTCGTGGTGAGAGTAGAAGTGGAGAAGATCGTTTTGGTTGGTGGGTTTTCGATAGACTTTAAAACGAAGTTCGTGGTCAGCTTTGCAGAGCAGAACATCAAGGAAAGGTGGAGTGTTGTCGAATTCTTCAAGTGTGAACTGGATTGAAGGCTCGACCTGGTTGAGCTTGTCTTGGAGAGCTTGAACGTTGAAGCGTTTAGGAGTTATGAGGAGAATGTCGTCAACATAACGGAGCCAGGTGACAGACGAAGGAATAATGGTGGAGAAACGTTCGGCTTCTAGATGTTCCATGTATAGGTTCGCCAGGACCGCACTGAGTGGCGAACCCATGGGTAGTCCAAAAGTCTGCTGAAAGAGGTGATTTTCGAAAGAGAAACACGTAAAGCCAACACATAGTTCAACAAGGTCGATGAAGTCGCTGGCTGGAATGGGAAGATCAAGTGAATCGTCAATTTTCCTGCGCAAGAGATCGATGGCTTGTGTAGTAGGTACTTTGGTGAATAGGGAAGTCACGTCAAGGCTGGAAAGTTTCTTGTTCCTGATGTTGATGTTGCGAATGCGATTGAGAAGATCACCTGAGTGTTTGAGATGTGCTGGACTGATAGTGCCCAAGAGTTTAGAGAGGTGTTTGGCGAGAATTCCTGAGAGCTGGTGGGGAGCACTGCCTATTCCGAGGATATGGGCCTCAGTGGGATACCAGGCTTGTGAGTCTTTGGCAGGCCGTACATTCTGGCAGGTCTGGGGTTGCTGGGCACGGTGTGTAGAAGTTTCTTCCCTTGTTCTGAGCCCTCAGAATGCGGCGAGTCCTTTGAAGAAAAGTTTTAGTAAGGTTGTCCACTTGGTTAGTTGTGAGAGGTTTGTAGGTATCTGGGTCATTAAGTAGATTGAGCATTTTGTTCCTGTAATCGTCAGTGTTCATGATAACAACACCACCTCCTTTATCAGCGGTGGTGACCCTGATGGTCGTGTCTTCTGCTAAACCTTTGAGTGCATTGATGTAACGTCGAGGTATGACTGGGGAGCTGCGTGTTGAGATGGCTGCTGAGATGATGCCTTGAAGATAGCCTTTTTGGAAGTCGGAGTCATTGTGTCTGTAGTTTTTGGCGATGAAATTAAGGTCTTGTTTTGGTTTCGTAATTCCTGTTGCGAATTTGAGGCCTAAGCTGAGGGCTTCAGTTTCTGTGGTTGACAGTGGACGAGATGAAAGATTTTGAATAATTTCAGGTCTTCCTAAACTTTTCCAATTACTATTATCGCAGAGTGTTTGTAGTTTCCTAGTAAGTCTGATCTTCTGTTGAACATTCGCTGTGGTAACTCTGCTGCGAATGATTTCGGCGGTGCGTCTGTTCGAAAACCCACCAACCAAAACGATCTTCTCCACTTCTACTCTCACCACGACACCAAAACCAAACGTGGTGTAATTATAGGCTTCTTCCTGCGTGCACTCAGAATCTGCAGCAACGAGTTCCTTGAGGAAGAATGCACTATAATTGAACAAATATTTTCTAAACTCCACTATCCTCGTCACTTCATCAGAGACTGCAGACGGCGAGCATTAAACATCTTCAACACACCCAGAGAAGACACTGCCGAGAAGAGATACATAGTCCTTCCCACCAACTCCATTGCCAAACATGTTTCCAACATCTTTGCCAAAACATCATTCAAGTATCTACCTCACAACCACGACCATCAAGGACATCCCCAGTAGTAGGCAGGACAAGCCTCCATCCTCTGCAGGGGTAAAACATAATCCCTTGTAATGACTGCAACAAGTTATACGTGGGCCAAAACATCAAGGGACCTCCAAACACGTATTTCAGAACACCAATACGCAAGCAGGTCTGACGACACAAGGAATGCCTGCGTACAACACCGTAATTCACACAACCACTTGATAAACTACAGAAATTCAAGACTTATCGCCACAGAAGACAACACTCAATACCGAAGAATCCTGGAATCATCACTTATTTCTATATCCGACAACTTCAACCAGAATAGTGGCTTCTATAACATAGCTGAACCACTTGCCAAGAAACTTCTTCATCGCTATCCCACATAAGAACACTGTAGAAGGTCTGCTCACAAACTTATCCAATCTCCTTTCCAAGCTACCCAAGTTTTTAGACTCTATAACCCCACTCGGTACATCATCAGATGCAGCATTCTTCACCTGACCTCAGCCGGACTATAAATACTCGCGTTCCTTCCACCCCAGGTTTCACCAACACAGACATTAAAACTCTCCTCAGACACCTTCCTCCAAAGGCTCCTGGTGCCTCTGGCCTAAACCATATTATCCTGAAACACCTTCCTGACTCTATCATTACTGCCTACACAAACCTCCTCAATGCCTCCCTTGCCTCTGGATACTTCCCTTCCCTCTTCAAAGCTGCTACTGCTATCCTCCTTCCTAAACCCAATAAAGACCACTCTGACCCTAGAAACTATCGCCCTATCAGCCTCTCGAAACTTTAGGAAAACTCTTTGAAAAACTCAATTAATCAATCGCCTTCGCAGATACCTGGAACATAATTCTCTACTTTCAGATGGCCAGTTTGGCTTCAGAACACACAGATCCACACAGGATGCCATTAACATCATTCTCAACTACATCCACATAAACACAAAACAAAGAAACAGGACAGCCCCGGTTGCAAAAACGTTGAAAAAGCTTTTGACACTGTGTGGGGACGAGGGGCTCAAGTACAAACTCTGCACTAACTTCAACCTGCCTCTCAATACTCGTAAACTCCTCTGCAAAATTCTAGACGGCCCCTACCCTGAGAATCAAATTCCAAGGCTGTTACTCTGACTACTTCACACTAAATGCTGGAGTACCCCCGGGATCTGTCCTTTCCCCTACCCTCTACATTTTATACACTAACGACATTCCAACACCTATATACCACAACTCCATCACACTAGCCTATGCAGACGACATTACACAACTTATCACTCATGCCAATATAGATACACTCACAACAAAACACAAAATGAGGTTGACAGGATAGCCATCTGGGAACAAAAATGGAGGATCAAAACCAATGCAGCAAAATCCAGCATTACGTATTTTAACTACAGGAAACGTGATCCTCCATTACCTGTCGAACTCAGAACAGCTGACACCCGCACTTACTTCCCTATCACACAATCTGTCACTGTCCTTGGCGTTAATCTTGACTACCTTCTTCGTTTACACGGACACATTCACTCAAGGCATGCAATAGCTAGTAAGGCCCTTGCGGGCCTCTACAAGCTGAAACATGCCTCTCAACGCACCAAACTACACCTCTACAAATCCCTAATACGTCCTCTGATAACTTACTCTCCTCTAGCCCTCTCTCTTGCAGCAAAAACAAACTTACTTAAACTGCAGCGCGTCCAGAACAAGGCGCTGCGCTGGGTGCTTGATGTCAGATGGGAGGACTTCGCCACAAGCGAGTCTCTCCATGCCCAGTTAGACGTCCCTGCGCTGAATCTGTACTGGAAGAGGCTCAGTGACAGACTGATAGACAAACTTGAGACACGACATGACTACTGGACCTCTCTCCTTGACGAAGACATTCGCAGACCCACAAACCAACACAACCTTTTCTACTCCTTGCATGATCCTGCTCCTAACCCTACTTACAAATAACCTTGGATCCGCTGACAGGTACCTTCTAAGACAGGTACCATTCTCTGACCCACGTTCGCCTTAGCTTTTTTGGGTTAAGACATGACTCAGTTCTGCACTCCTCTCTAGCTCTAAAGGTCGCAAGTCCCTTACTCCCAGCTCACCCCACCGGAGTCCCAACAGAAGAACCGGAATTTCTCTTTTCAATATCTGTCCCACGATCGCCTTTGCTGCTGGGTTAAGCCCTGGCTCTATTTCTACGACTAAGAACACTCCTCTCCAGCACTATTCTTCGTCTGTCCCGTCTTCCCCGCTCATCCCATTTGGGATCTTACCTGAACTTTCGTTCGTTCGTTCGTTCACCCCAGGTCGTCA